AATCAAATTTGTTGTAGTGACTACTACGACTACCACTACTATCACTACCACTACTACCACTACCACTACTACCACTACCACANAAAATATTCTTTTTAGTGACAAGATGGTAGTTTTAACTATAAAATTATAATTGTCACTAATTATATATTTAGGGACGAAATACTTTTTTGTAGATAAAAGGTAGTCTTTAATGACAAAATTACGGTTTTCAACTACGAAATACACATAGCTTTAGAGACATTTAACGTCGTCACTAATTAAACTAAATTTTAGAGACGAGGCAGTTTCGTCGACATTAATGCACTTTTTAGTGATGAAATCATACTATTAAGTACGATTTTTTTGTACTTTTTATGACAAATAAATCCGTCATAAATATTGCGTATTTAGGGACGAAAAAGAATTTCGTATTTAATACTTCATTATTTGGCGACGAAACACAAAGTTGCCTTTATATGTTATTAGTGACAGTGTTTTAGAGACGAAAGATTGACAAAAAAAATTCGTCATAAAAAATCTTTGGTGACGAAAAGTGAATCATAGGTGACAAAATAATTCATCATTGATAATCAAATTTGTTGTAGTGACTACTACGACTACCACTACTATCACTACCACTACTACCACTACCACTACTACCACTACCACAACTACCACTACTACTACCACTACTAATACTACTACTATCACCACTATGACTACTACCACCACTACTACTACTACTACTAAAACTACTACTACTACTACTACTACTACCACTACCATCTCTACCACTACCATTACTACCACCACCACTATTACTATCACTACTACCACTACTACTAATACTATTACTACTACTACAATTACTATCACTACTACTACTACTACTACAACCACTACCACTACTACCACCACCACTACTACTACTACTATCACTACTACCACCACCACCACTACTACTACTACTACTACTACCACTACTACTACTACTACTATTACTATCACTACTACTACTACTACTACCACTACCACTACCACTACTACCACCACCACTACTACAACTACTATCACTACTACCACTACTACCACTACTACTACTACTATCACCACTGCTACTACTACTACTACTACTATTACTACCACTATCACTACTACTACCATCACTACTACTACCACCACCGCTACTACCACTATCACCACTACCACCACCACTACTACTATCACCACCACAACTACTACTACTGTCACCACTACTACTACTACCACTACTACGACTACCACCACTACCACTTATGTCTACCGCTACTACCACTATCACTACAACCACTATTACTACTACCAATACTACTATCATTACTATCACTACCACTACCATCACCACTACCACTACTACTATTATCACTACTACCACTACTACTATTACCACCACCACCACTATCACTACTACTACTACTACTACTTCCACTACCACCACCACCACCACCACCCACCACCACCACTACTACTACTACTACTACTATCACCACTACTACTACTACCACCACTATTACGACTACCACTACTACTACTATGACTACCACTACTATCACTACCACTACTACCACCACTACTACTACCACTACTACTACCGCTACTACTACTACTACTACTACCGCTACTACTACTACTACTACTATCACCACTATCACTACTACCACTACTACTACTACTACTATTACTACCACTACCACTACTAATACTATCACTACCATCACTACCACTACAACTACTACCACCATCACTACTACCACCACCACCACTACCACTACTACAACTACCACCACCACTATTACTATCACCACTACTACTACCACCACTACTACTACTATCACCACTACCACCACTACTACCACCACTACTAAGACTACCATTACTACCACTACTACCACTACCACTACTACTACGACTAATATTACTACCACTACCATTAATACCACTACCACTACTACTACAACCACTGCTACCATCACCACTACTACCACACCATCACCACCACCACTACCATCGCCACCACTATCATTACCACCACCACTATTACTATCACTATCATTACCACTACCATTACCACTATCACTACTACTACCATTACTACCACTGCCAACTACCACTACTATTATCACTACTACCACTACCAACTACCACTACCACTACCACTGTCACTATCACTACCACTACCTCTACTACTACTACTACTACTACTACTACTACCACCGCTACCTCTACCACTACCAACTACCACTATTACTATCACTAATATCACTACTACCACTACCAACTACCACTACCACTACCATTGTTACTGTCACTATCACTATCACTATCACTACAACCACTACTACTACTACCACCACCACCACTACCACTACCAGTATCACTACCACTACCACTCTCACTATCACTACCACTATTATTACTACTACTACTACTACCACTACCACTATCACTACCACCACTACTACCACTACCACTATCACTATCACTACTACTACCACTATCACTACCACTACCACTACCACTACCACTACCACTATCACTATCACTACTATCACCACTACCACTACCACTGCCACTGTCACTGCCACTGCCACTGCCACTACCACCACTACCACTATCACTATCACTACCACTACTACTACTACTACCACTACTACTACTACTACTACTACTACTATCGCTACTACTACTACTATCACTACTACCACTACTACTACCACTACTATCACTACCACTACCACTATCACTGCCACTGCCACTGCCACAACCACCACTACCACTACCACTATAACTACCACTACCACTAATACCACTACTACCACTACTACAATCACTACTACCACTACTACTATCACTACTATCACTACCACTACCACTACTACTACTACCACTACTACTACTATCACTACTACAACTACTACTACCACTACTATCACTTCCACTACCACTACCACTACTACTACCACCACCACTACTATCACTACTACCACCACTATCACCACCACTACTACCACTACTACCACTACTACTACTGCCACTACTGCCACTACCATTATCACTACTATCACTACCACTACCACCACCACTACCACTACTACTACCACCACTACAACTACCACTACCACTACCACCACCACCACCACTACAACCACTATTACTACCACCACAACTACTACCAATACCTTTACCACCACCACTACCAATACTACAACTACCATCACTACTACTACCACCATCACCATCACCACCACCACCACCACTACTAACACTACAACTACTACTATTACCACTATCACTACTACCACTATCACTACAACTACTACTACTACTACTACCACTACTACTACCACTACTATCACTACTACCACTATTACCATTACTACTACTACTACCACCACCACCACCACCACCACCACTACCACCACTACTACCGCTACTACTACCACTACCACCACCACCACCACTACTACCACCACCACCACTATCACCACCACCACTACTGCCACCACCGCCACTACTACCCCAACTACCACCACCACTACTATTACCACTATTACCACCACTACTACCACCGCCACTACTACCCCAACTACCACCACCACTACTATTACCACTATTACCACCACTACTACCACCACCACTCCTATCACTACTACCACTACTACTATCACTACTATCACTACCACCACCCCTACCACTACCACTACCACCACCACTACCACTACCACTACCACCACCACTACCACTACTACTACTACTACCATCACCACCACTACTATCACTACTACCACTACCACTACTACCTTCACCACTATCACTACTACCACTACCACTACCACTATCACTATCACTACCACCACCACTACCACTACTACTATTACCACTACTACCACTATTACCACTACCACTATCACTATCACTATCACTACCATCACTACTACCACTACCACTACCACTACCACTACTACTACTACTACTACTACTACTACTACTACTACTACTACTACTACTACTACTACCACCACCACTATTACTACCACTATTACTACCACTACCACCACTACTATTACCACTATTACCACTACCACTACCACTACTACTAATACTACTACTACCACTACTACTAATACTACTACTACTACCACTACTACCACTACAATCACTATCACTACTACCACTACTACCACGACTACTACCACTACTACGACTATTACGACAACTACTATTACTACTACTGCTACTACTACTACTACTACCACTACTACCACTAGAACCATTACTACTACTACCACTACTACTACTACTATCACCACTACTACTACCACTACTATCACTACTACCACTACTATTACTATTACTACTACTACCACCACCACCACCACCACCTCCACCACTGCTACCACTATCACTATTACCACTATCACTACTATCACTACTATTACTACTACCACTACCACTGCTATCACTACCACCACTATCACTACCACTACCACCACCATTATCACTATCACTACCACCACCACTACCACTTTCACTACCACTACTACTACTACCACTACTACTACTATCACTACTACTACCACTACCACTACCACTACTACTATCACTGCTACGACTACTACTACTACCACTACTACTATTACTACCACCACTACTATTACTACTATCACTACTATTACCACTACTACTATTACGACTACTACCATTACTACTACCATTACTACTACCACTACTACTACAACACTACTAGTACTACTACTATTACCACTACTATCACTATCACTACTACTACTATTACTACTACTACTACTACTACTACCATTACTATCACTACTACTACTACTACTACTATTTTTACTTCCACTACTACCACTACTACGATTATTACTACTACTACCACTACTATCACTACTACGACTACTACTACTACTACCACTATTACCACTACTACGACTACTACTACTACTACCACTACCACTACTACCACTACTGCCACTACTACCACTACTACTACCACTACTACTATTAACACTACTATCACTACTACCACTACCACTACCACTACCACTATCACTACCACTACCACTACCACTACCACTACCACTACCACCACCACTACCACTACCACTATCACTACCACTACCACTACCACTACCACTGCCACTACTACCACTAACACTACCATTACCACTACCACTACGACTACTACTACCACCACCACCACCAGTACTACTACTACTACTACTACTAATTCAGGAGACCCTTGCACAGTTCATGAGCATGTTCAACACTCTAACTCAAGCTTGGTTGATTCCCCTTACTCCAGCTATATCTTAGGCCGGGGGAGAGCATAGACTCCCCCCGCTCGCACCCCAAAGAAGCGGGTTTAGGTTGTCAGATTCCAGTGATTATACCAGTACCACCTATAGCCTTAGTTCAGCCCAAGGGAAGGGCATCAGCTTCAGAGAAGGAGCAGCGTAGGCTCAAGAGGTACAAAAAGTACGACCCTTCTACATTTAGTGGTCTAGTGTCAGAGGATGCTCAGGGATTTCTGGAAGAGTGCCACACATCCTCCGTACTATGGTCATAGCAAAGTCGAGTGGGGTTTCTTTCACTACTATTCAGCTTCTAGGAGCAGCCTATCAGTGGTGGCGTACTTATGAGTTGGACAGTTCGACTCAGGCAGCTTTCCTTACATGGACTCAGTTCTTGGACATGTTTTTGAGAGAGTATGTCCCTCAGAGCCTCAGGGACACATGACGCGCAGAGTTTGAGCAGTTGCGCTAGGGTGCTATGATTGCTTCAGAGTATGCAGTCAATTTTAGTGACTTGGCTAGACATGCACCGACCTTGGTTTCTACAGTTCGAGAGAGGGTCCGCCAGTTTATTGAGGGACTCATTCCTGGCATCAGGAATAACATGGCCAGGGAGTTAGAGATGTATATCTCGTATCAGCAGGCGGTGAGTATTGCTAGGAGAGTGGATGGCATGCTTTCTCGGGATAGGGAGGAGAGATAGGCCAAGAGGTCTCGAGAGTCTGGCCATTATTCTGATGCCCGTGCCCCAGCTACAGTTTCTCATGGTAGGGGTTATGTGAGTCGCCCCGTTCATTCAACTCTTCCAGCCGCCAATGGTATTCCAACTCCTTCTAGACCTTAGGAGCCTTATTACACACCTCCAGTATCTAGCGTGCCTCCTGCACGGGGTGCTATCAACAGTCAGTCCAGTAGACCTGACCCGAGTTAGACACAATAGCCACGCCCTCCCAAAGCTTATTTTGAGTGTGGCGACACTCGTCATATGGTAAGGGATTGCTCCAGACTTAGGAGGGGTACACATCCACAGACTTCTCAGCCACAACATGCTCCGCAGGGTTCACAAGCTATGATTATGGCACTAGCTTCCACTTCACCTGCTCAGCCACATCGATGTGGAGGTGGGGAAGGTAGAGATCACCCTAGAGGGGGATGCCAGGCCAAATACTATGCCCTTCTTGCTCGTACAGAGGTTGTTGCTTCTGATTCTGTTATTACATGTATTGTTCCAGTCTGTCATAGAGATGCATTGGTTCTATTCGATCAAGGCTCCACTTATTCCTATGTGTCCTCTTATTTTGCTCTGCATTTGGGCGTATCTCGGGATTCTTTGAGTTCCCATGTTTATATGTCTACTCTTATGGGAGATTCTCTTATTGGGGATTACGTTTATCGGTCGAGTTTGATTACTCTTAGTGGTTTTGAGACCAGAGCCAATTTATTATTGTTTAGCATGGTAGATTTTGATGTTATCTTAGGCATGGACTGGTTGTTGCCCCATTATGCTATTCTTGATTGTCACTCCAAGACCGTGACGCTGGCTATGCCAGGTTTACCGTGATTAGAGTGGAGGGTACATTAGATTACACTCCCAGTAGAGTTATTTCATTTCTTAAAGCTCAATAAATGGTTGAAAAGGGGTGTGACACATATCTAGCCAATGTGAGGGATGTCAGTATTGATACCCTACAGTTGAATCAGTCCCAGTAGTGAAGGATTTTCCTAATGTGTTTCCAGCTGATCTTCTGGACTTGCTGCCTTACAGAGATATTGACTTTGGTATTGATTTATTGATGGGCACTCTGCCCATCTCTATTGCTCCTTATCGTATGGCCCCTCCTGAGTTGAAGGAACAGTTGCAGGAATTGCTTGATAAGGGCTTCATTCGGCCCAGTGTGTCACCTTGGGGTGATTGTGTCTTGTTTGTGAAGAAAAAGGATGGTTCTATGCATATGTGCATTGATTATCGCCAGTTGAACAAAGTTACAGTGAAGAATTGGTATCCTTTGCCTCGTATTGATGACCTATTTGATCAGTTACAAGGTGCCTGAGTGTTTTCCAAGATTGATTTGCGTTAAGGTTATCACCAGTTGAAGATTCGGGAGACAAATATCCTAAAGACTGCTTTCAAGACTCGGTATGGTCATTATGAGTTCCTTGTGATGTCATTTGGGCTGACCAATGCCCCAGCAACATTTTATGCATTTGATGCATAGTGTATTTCGGCCCTATTGTCTTTATTGACAACATTCTTGTGTACTCCCGGGGCGAGAAGAGCATGAGCAGCACCTGAGGACTGTGCTTCAGACCTTGACAGAGAAGAAATTATATGCAAAGTTCTCAAAAATATAAGTTTTGGTTGGATTTCGTGGCATTTTTAGGTAACGTGGTGTCGAGTGAAGGGATCAAGGTAGATCCGAAGAAAGTGGAAGCGGTTCAGATTTGGCCCAGACCATCCTCAGCTACAGAGATCTGGAGCTTCCTTGGTTTGGCGGCGTATTACCGTAGGTTTGTTGAGGGATTCTCATCTATTGCAGAACCTATAACCAGGCTGACCTAGAAAGGTGCTCCGTTCAGGTGGACGGAGGAGTGTGAGGAGAGCTTTCAAAAGCTCAAGACAGCTTTGACCACAACCCCAGTATTGGTATTGCCTTCAGGTTCGGTGTCTTATATAATTTATTGTGATGCGACGCGAGTTGGCCTCAGTACGGTGTTGATGTAGGACCGAAGGGTGATTGCCTACGCGTCCAGACAGTTGAAGGTGCATGAAAAGAACTATCTTGTCCACGACCTTGAGTTAGCTGCTATTACTCCTGCCTTGAAGATTTGGAGGCATTATTTACACGGTGTCCCTTGTGAGATCTACACCGATCACAGGAGTTTGCAACATCTATTCAAGCATAAGGATCTTAAATTACGTCAGAGGAGGTGGTTAGAGCTGCATAAGGATTATGATATCACCATTATATACCACTCGAGGAAGGCCAATGTGAGGCCGATGCTTTGAGTCGACGAGCAGAGAGCTTGGGGAGTTTAGCATATCTACGAGTAACAGAGAGGCCCATGGCGTTGGATGTTCAGGCCATAGCCAGCCAGTTTTTGAGATTGGATATTTTTGAGCCTAGTCGAGTATTGACTTGTGTGGTCTCTTGGTCTTCTCTTTATGACCGTATCAGAGAGTGTCAGTATGATAACCCCCATCTGCTTGTCCTTAGGGACACAGTCCAGCACAGTGATGCTAAAGAGGTCACTATTGGGGATGATGGTGCATTGAGGATGCAGGACAGGCTATGTATGCCTAATGTAGATGGTTTGCGTGAGTTTATTCTTTAGGAGGCTCATAGCTCGCGATACTCTATTCATACGGGTGCCACAAAGATGTATCAGGACTTAAGGCAGCATTATTGGTGGCGTAGAATGAAGAAGGACATAGTGGAGTATGTTGCTCGGTGTCTAAATTGCCAGCAGGTGAAGTATGGGCATCAGCAACCAGGTGGATTGCTTCAGAAGTTAGAGATTCCAAAGTGGAAATGGGAGCAGATCACTATGGATTTCGTTTGTTGGACTCCCATGGATTCAGCAGAAGTTTGATGCAGTTTAGGTAATTGTGGATAGGCTGACCAAGTCAGCTCACTTCCTTCATGTGATGACTACCTATTCTTCCGAGTAGGTGGCTCGAGTTTATATCCGTGAGATTGTCAGACTTTATGGCATGCCAGTATCTATCATCTCTGATCGGGGTATGCAATTTACATCACGGTTCTAGAGAGTCGTACAACATGAGTTGTATACATGTGGAGTTGAGCACAACATCACCCTCAGATAGACAGATAGTCCGAGCGCACTATAGGATATGCTTTGTGCGTGTGTGATGTGGTTTGGAGGTTCTTGGGATCAGTTCTTGCCACTTGCAGAGTTTGCCTACAATAATACTTATTAGTCTAGCATTCAGATGGCACCGTATAAGGCTCTATATGGTAGGCGATGTCGGTCCCCAGTGGGTTGGTTTGAGTTGGGCGAGGCAAGATTATTGGGCATAGACTTGGTTCCGGACGCTTTGGAGAAGGTCAAGGCGATTCAGGATAGACTTCGCACAGCCCATTCCGCGCAGAAGAGTTATGTAGACCGAAAGGTTTACGACATTGCATTCATATTTGGAGAGTGGGTCATGCTCCGGGTTTCGCCTATGAAGGGCGTCATGAGGTTCGGAAAGAAGGGCAAGCTGAGCCCAAGGTTTATTAGTCCCTTTGAGGTTTGCGTCTAGTTGGGGAGGTCGCTTATGAGTTTGCCTTACCTCCCAACTTAGCAGGAGTTCATCCGGTATTTCAAGTTTTAATGCTCCGTAGGTATCACGACGATCTATCTCATATGTTGGATTGCAGATCAGTCCAGTTGGATAAGGATTTATCCTATGTTAAGGACCCAGAGGCTATTTTGGACAGGCAGGTTCTAAAGCTGAGGTCAAAGAACACTATATCAGTAAAGGTTCAGTGGTGGGGTCAGTTGGCCGAAGAGGCAACTTGGGAGCCTGAGTAGGTTATGCGCAGCCGTTATCCTCATCTTTTCACCGCTTAAGGTATGTCTCTATGCTCGTTCGAAGATGAATGATTATTTTAAGAGGGGGAGAATGTAACGACCCGGCTGGTCATTTAGAGAGTTTCAACCCCAATCCCCTATTAACTATTTCCCTCGTATCTATTTTTGCTATTGTAACTTGCCGAGAGGTTTCGTTTTGGTTTCCGGAGTGTTTTGGGACACTTAGTCCTTAAACGAAGGCTTAAGTCTTAGAATTTGGACTGTAGTTGGAACTGTATGAAGACGACTCCAGAATAGAGTTCCGCCGATTTCGTTAACTCCGTTGGGTGATTTTGGGCTTAGGGGCATGTCTGGATTGTGTTTTGGAGGCCCGTAATTTATTTAGGCTTGAAATACTGAAAGTCAATTTTTTGGAGTTTTGGACCGGTAGTGGAATTTTTGATATCAGGGTCAAAATTCAATTTCGGAAGTTGGAGTAGGCCTGTAATGTTGATTATGACTAGTGTGCAAAATTTGGGGTTAATCGGACGTGGTTTGATAGGTTTCGGTATCGGTTGTGGAAATTTGAAGTTTCAAGTTCTTTAAGTTTGAATTGGAGGGTGATTCGTGAATTTAGCGTTGTTTGATGTGATTTGAGGTCCCGACTAAGTTTGTATGGTGTTATAGGATTGGTTGGTATGTTTGATTGAGGTCCCGGGGGCCTTGGGTGAGTTTCGGGTGCTTAACGGATCATTTTTGGACTTTGAGAGTTGGCAGATTTACGGGTGTTTTGTTGCAGGCACCTTCAACGCGTTCGCGAGAGGAGACTCATGCTCGCGAAGGGACTTTGTGACAAGTGAGCTTTTGTGCTTTGCAGTCGCGAAGGAGGTCTCGCATTCGCGAAGCACTAGGAAGGTTAGCCTACGCTTCGTGATATAGGTCCCGCATTCGTGATATAGGTCCTGCATTCGCGTAGAAGGAATGGCCATCTGGGTCCCCAAGCCCTTATGCCTACGCGTTCGCGATGTTAGTCCCGCGTTCGCGTAGGGTTGAGCTAAGTAGTCATCGCATTAATGATGGAGAAATTCTGGGCCAAGGCAAGTTGTGCTTCGCGAATGCGAGGGGCCTTCCGCGTTCGCGAAGAAGGAATCACTGGGCAGTACTTAAAAATTTCAAAAACGAGGTCAGCCATTTTTATCAAAACTTGAGTTTTGGAGCTCGAATTTGGACGAGATTTTGAGAGATTCTCATAGATTTCAATTGGATAATGATTCTTAAGTTGATTTTGGTTATATCCCACTAATCTTTCATTAATTTTATCAATTAATTTCGGATTTGGGGTGAAAATTTGGGAAAAGTTGAGAAGAGTTCTTAGGCCGAATTTTGGAGTTTTGATCGAAATTTTGGTATCGAATTTGAGTAAATTTGGTATAGTTAGACTCGTGAGTGAATCAGTGTTCGTAAATTGAGACTTTTCCCAATTTCGAGACATGAGCCCGGGGAGGCTTTTTGGGTGCTTTTCCAATTTCTTGCTTTAGCTTTGATTTTATTAGCTAGATTAGTTTCTTGTAGTTATATTTACATTATGGATTGATTGAGCTTGGTTCGAGGTAAGTGGCTTGCCTAACCTTGTGGGGGTGGGGGGGGGACTTTCCTTAGGATTTGGTACTGTTTTAATATGTGAGTGTCGTGTACGTGAGGTGACGAGTACGTACACGAGCTATTTGTTGTAACTTAAAGAATCACCCTCCAATCCAAACTTAAAGAACTTTGAAACTTCAGACTTCCACAACTGATGTCGAAACCTATCAAATCACGTTCGATTGACCTGAAACTTTACACACAAGTCATATTCGATATTATGGGCCTATACCAATATTTGGAATCGGAATCCGACCCCGATATCAAAAAGTCCACTCCCGGTCAAACTTCCCAAAAATTCAACTTTTGCCTAATTCAGCTACAGGCCTCCAAAACACAATCTGGACGCACTCCTAAGTCCAAAATCATCCAAAGGAGCTAACAGAATCGATGAAACTCCATTTCGGAGTCGCCTTCACACAGTTCCGACTATGGTCAAAATCTTAGAACTTAAGCTTCCGTTTTAGGGACTAAGTGTCCCAAAACACTCCGAAACAAAAAACAGAACCTCCCAGCAAGTCACATAAATAGAAAAAGATACGGGAAAAGCAGTAAATAGTGGATCGGGGTTATTACTCTCAAAATGACCGGCCGGGTCATTACATCTTCCCCCTCTCAAAACAATCGTTCGTCCTCGAACAAGTGTAGAGACATACCTGAAGTAGTGAAAAGATGAGGATAACGGTTGAAACAGTGTTCTTTGACCTCAATTTTTGAACATGCCTGTCCAAGATAGCCACCAGCTCCTCAACATAAGATAGATCCTTGTCCAACTGGACTGAGCTGAAATCCAACACATCAGACGGATCACCGTGATACTTTCGGAGCATAGAAACTTGGAATATCGGATAAAGTCCTACTAGGCTGGGTGGCAAGGCAAGCTCATAAGCAACCTCCCCAACTCCCCGCAACACCTCGAATGGACCAATAAACCTTGGGATCAGTTTGCCCTTCTTCCCGAATCTCATAACACCCTTCATGGGCGAAACCCAGAGCAAGACCCGCTCCCCAACCATGAATGCAACATCGCAAACCTTCTGATCTGCATAACTCTTTTGTCTGGACTTGGCTGTGCGAAGTCGATCCTAAATTACCTTAACCTTTTCCAAAGCATCCTGAACCAAGTCTATACCTAATAATCTAACCTCACCCGGCTCGAACCAACCCACTGGAAACCGACACCGTCTATCATACAAAGCCTCATAAGGTGCCATTTAAATGCTCGACTGATAACTGTTGTTGTAGGCAAACTTCGCATGAGGCAAGAATTGTCCGCAAGAACCCCCAAACTCCATCACACACACACGGAGCATATCCTCTAGTATATAGGTGAAATGGTGTGCTCAACTCAACCCGAGTACCTAACTCATATTGTATGGCCCTCCAGAACCGTGATGTAAACTGTGTACCCTAGTCAGAGATGATAAATACCGGCACGCCATGAAGTTTGACAAGCTCGTGGATATAAACTTGAGCCAGCTACTCAGAAGAATAAGTACTAAGTAGTCATCACAAGAATGAAATGAGCTCACTTGGTCAGCCTATCCACAATTACCCAAACTGCATCAAACTTCATCTAAGTCTGTGGAAGCCCAACAACAAAATCCATAGTGATCCGCTCTCATTTTCACTCCGGAATCTCTAACTTCTGAAGCAATCCACCAGGCCGCTGATGCTCATACTTCACCTGATGGCAATTTAGACACCGAGCTACATATTCCACTATGTCCTTCTTCATTCTCCTCCACCAATAATGCTACCTCAAGTGCTGATACATCTTCGCGGCACCCGGATGAATGGAGTATCACGAACTATGAGCCTCCTAGAGAATCAACTCACGTAAACCATCTACATTGGGCACACAAAGCCTGCCCTGCATCCTCATTGCACTGTCATCTCCAATAGTGACCTCCTTAGCATCACCGTGCTAAATCGTTTCTTTAAGCAAAAGCAGATGGGGGTCATCATACTGATATCCCCTGATACGATCATAAAGAGAAGACTGAGAGACCAAACAAGCCAACACTCGATTCGGCTAAAAAATATCCAATCTAACAAACTGGTTGGCCAAGGCCTGAACATCCAATGCCAATGGCCTCACTGCTACTGGTAGATATGCTAAGCTTCCCAAACTCTCATCTCTATGACTCAAGGCATTGGCCCCCACATTGACCTTCCCGGGATGGTACAAAATGGTAATATCATAATCCTTAAGCAACTCCAACCACCTCCGCTGACGCAAGTTAAGATCCTTTTGCCTGAACAGATGCTGCAAACTCCGGTGATCGGTGTAGATCTCATAAGGGACAACATATAAATAGTGCCGCCAAATCTTCAAGGCATGAACAATAGCTACTAACTCAAGATTGTGGACAAGATAGTTCTTTTCATGCACCTTTAGCTGTCTGGACGCGTAGGCGATCACCCTAAGGTCCTACATCAACACCGTGTCGAGACCAACCCACGATGTATCATAGTATACGGTATAAGATCCTGAACCTGTAGGTAATACCAATACTGGGGTTGTACTCAAAGCTGTCTTGAGCTTCTAATTAAAAGCCCTCTTCACATTCCTTTGTCCACCTGGACGGAGCACTCTTCTAGGTCAACCTGGTTATAGGTGCTGTAATAGATGAGAAACCTTCTACATATCGACGATAATACCCCGCCAACCCAAGAAAACTCTGGATCTCCGTAGTTGAGGACGGTCTGGGCCCACTCTGCACTGCTTCCACCTTTTTCGGATCAACCTTGATCCCATCACTTGATACTACATGACCCAAGAATGTCACTGAGTCTAGCCAAAACCCACACTTCAAAATTTCTACATATAGCTTCTTTTCTCTCAAGGTCTAGAGCACAGTCCTTAGGTGCTGCTCATGATCCTCCCCGGTCCGGAAGTATACCAGCACGTAATCAATGAATATGATGACAAAAGAGTCAAGATAGGGCCGAAACACACTGTGCATCAAGTGCATGAATGCTACTGGGGCATTGGTCAGCCCAAAAGACATTACAAGGAACTCATAGTGACCATACCGAGTCCTGAAAGCTGTCTTTGAGATATTTGGCTCCCGAATCTTCAACTGATGATAGCCTGAATGCAAGAAAATCTAGGGCACCCTGTAACTGATCAAATAGGTCATCAATATGAGGCAAAGGATACCTGTTCTTCACTGTAACTTTGTTCAACTGCGTTAATCAATGCACATACGCATAGAACCATCCTTCTTCTTCACAAACAAGAATGGGGCACCCCAAGGTGACACACTAGGCTGAATGAAGCCATTATTAAGCAATTCCTACAACTGCTCCTTCAACTCCTTCAACTCAGGAGGAGCCATACGATATGGAGGAATAGAGATGGGCCGAGTGCCCGGCAACAAATCAATACCAAAGTCGATATCTTTGTCGGGCGACATGCCCGGAAGATCCGCTAGAAATACATCGGGAAAATCCCTCACTACTAGAACTGGCTCAACTGTAGGGGTATCAATCCTGACATCTCTCACATATGCTAGATACATATCACACCCCTTGTCAGCCATTCGTTGAGCTTTAAAAAATGAAATAACTCTACTAGGAGTGTAATGTAAGGTACCTTTCCGCTCTAATCGCGGTAATCTTGGCATAGTCAGCATCACGGTCTTAGTGTGACAATCAAGAATAGATGTAAGCACGTAATTTTTGACCCACAAATTAGAATTACCTTTAATAGTCCTAGTATTTTTAGAATATTTATTTGAGTTTATTTCTATAGGATTTCACTTTATTATTAATTTTAATTCTATTTTTAAAGAACAAAAATTGAAAAAATACAAAATTAGTTTAATTTTTTCTATTTAATTCAGTTATTATGTATTTTTGGAAAGATATTATTTCTAACCCATTTTTATTTTAGTATAATCCTTGAAAATACCAAAATAATAGTTTCATGTTATGATATAGTTGTTTTAATTAATTAGGATTGATTTTACATTTTTATGGTATGATATTTTAGGAAAAGAAATTAATATTTTAGCTTTGTAGAATTAAAGGACCACATTAAAGGCAAATTTGGCCCAAATTTGGGCAGCCCACTCCTCCCTTCAGCCCATTTACCCATTCCTAACTCACAACCTTTTTATAATCAGAATTAAACCTAAATTCCTACACCACCTAATTGTAGAGCCAGCTGTAACACACAAAAGAAGAACGACCTCCTCTTCAAGCTCGAACATCTCTCTCAATCTTTGAGAGCTGTGGGCGACACACAGAAGAACAAAACAAAAAACGGCAAACACACACAACCTAGCTCCCCCCCCCCCCCCCCTTGATATCTTCTTTATTCTCAAAATCAAAGAAACAC